ACGACACAAATAAATAGGTCACAGAACTTAATTTAGTTCTAATTTTTAAAAAGTAGTGTAACGAGCTACCAAAGACACAACTAAATCACCTCAGTGACCGTAGGGAAATATAATCGTTACTGGATGCAGCGCAGATGGAGACAGCGGGCCATAATCTTTGTTAGTATAACGTTTGACTTTGGCTTGGGTAGAGTGTTCAAACCTTGCTCATATTACATTGTTGTGCTGTTGTGAGCGCCGTAAAAACTTACAAAAGCAAAAACAATACCTGGATAACCGACGACAGTGCTATAGCAGATAGATGCTTCGCTCATGCACACAGGAGACCATCGGTCTAATCCCCAGTGTGACAAATAGTCATCGAGCAACTTGGAATTTCTTCCGGGAATGTGTATCCCTCTTAGTCCTGGTAGGCCCTGACAGGCAAGACCTTAAGCCCGCCTTCTAAATGATTGAAACTGTTTTAATCTGACCGTTAAAGACTTACGTTAAAAGTGCAAAAATTTCAAAAATCAAAAGAAATATAAAAACCACAAAAACCTGGATTTTTTGTGGGATTGTTTCTGGAAGGAAGTTGTTAGGGGAATATATAGTCCCTTAGCGCTACCCACTGGGGGAACTGTGCAGTCCCCTATCGCTGCTTAGATCTACTCGGGTATCGTGCAGTCCTCTAGCGTTCTGCACTGGGGGACTACAAAGACAATTTGAGATGTTTGTCGTAATAAATCTTAAACCTGCATCCTCTTAGCACATCGCACCCTAATCCCAGCATTATTGACTTTTTTTCTCAGTGTTACTAATGTTATATGAGAAAGCACTCTGAACAGGAAAAGCTGATTCCGATCCAGATGTCTGCATTTTAGATTTTAGTCTATAAAATTGTTATTTCCCAAACCTTTTCAATTCTGTTTTTATAGATTTGAAGAAAACTTTTTTTAATTTGAAGAATACAGGATTCTACTTGAAGTAGTACCCTTGAAAACATTGACTGATACTGATACACATGATGTACTTAGGTTAAAATTCTAAATTTTCAAATTTTCAGAGTTTAGTTACACAGGGTAGAGTAACATTACTGACCAGGTTAAAAGAGCTAGCCATCTCATATATTATTCTCTGATCGGAAGCAACATCAACAAGACCACCTACATAGACCTAGCATAAACTTGCCAATCCAGACAGCAACCTTTACTAATTTTCTAATATTTTAACCCCAAATCCGAGCTTTTGTTTCATATTTCCAAAAAAAAATCTTATTTTTTAAAGTTTCGATAAAAAAGATGTCGGACCTTTGAAAAGAGCTACTATTACTTTTTACTGCTACTACAACTACTATAACAACAACAACTACTACTACAACTACTACTACCACTACTACTACTGCTACTACTACTACTACTACTACTACTACTACTACTACTACTACTACTACTACTGCTACTACTACTACTACTAAACTCGCATAAAAAAGTCAAGGAACAAAAATTCAAAGAAAGATAACTGAAGAACAGTTTAACCGAATTTATTCATTTTTTGTCACAAGAGATGCTTTCGACTCTCTAGATTAAATGTGTAGAATTTCAGATTTCAACAACAACGGGAAGTTCATGTAAAATGAGTTTAAGTCACACTGGTTGGATTTCAAAAGTCTGAACAGCCATAGTTCTTCATGAACATTGTCAATAGTGGATGCAGCCACCCCGTTTGATCAAACACTAGGCACAGCGTCGACGCATGGACAGGACAAGCCTTCGGAAAACTTGTTTGGGGTAGGTTTTGCCACTCCTGGACGAGGTATTCCAAGAGTTGTTGAATGTTTTTGTGCAGGAGGGTGGTTGTCCCTTATCCACCGGTCAATGTGATCCCATATGTTCTCTATTGGGTTCAAATCCGGACTAACTACAAGCTGGTCAGTCCATGCGGATGGCAGTTCGCTGCTGCAGGAAGTCCCCCACGATGCGAGCGCGATGTGGCACGGCGTTGTCGTCCAGCAGTACAACCTGGGGTCTAATCTGCTGCAGGAGAGGAACACCAAGGGGACGCAGGATTTCCTCCCTATACCTTGCCGCGGTCAAATTGCCCTGTAATATGGTACAGGGGATCTTGTGGTGTGCTGAGAAGCTTCCCTACATCAGAACAGACCCTCCACCATAAGGTGCCACCTGCTGGATGCACTCAGGGTGGAACAGCTCTCCTCGGCGCCTCCAGACGTGGGCTAGCCTGTCTGGGTGCAGCAGGTTGAATCTGGATTCATTTGAGAAGACTACCTGGTCCCACTGACGTCGTGTCCACTGTGAATGATGAGCAGGCCACGAGCTGCTTTGTGGGGCGGCGTGTGCCTTGGGCGCCTGACAGGGACACAAGAAGCTGACCTGGCTCTACGGATACGGTTCCTTACCGTCTCCTCGCTCTCGTGGACATTGGCTGTCGCCCGTAGTTGGTCCTTGATGCCGTTTGCAGTGGTGGTTCGTGATGTTACGGCCTGTTTGACGATGAACCGGTCGATGATGTTGTTTGGTCAAACGGGGCGGTTCTGGTTGAGGCCTGTCCTGGACCCTTCCGGTCGCTCGCCATCGTTTTTGCATCCTCTATATAAACTGATGGAGACACCCCAAGTCGAAGTGCAACAACTGGGAACGTGGAGCCATCTTGGAGCAAGGTAAGGGCTCGTCCTCTGTAGACGTCAGGCAGCGAGCGTTGTTGGACCGTCGTGTTGTAATGAAACATGGCTGAAAAACGATGGCTTATAAAGGGTCGTAAGTGAGCAATATTTACAGCTAGGACATCTCTTCAGCACGCGCCAAGCTTAGTTTTAGCTAACAGTCCCTATGCCAATGTTGCTGAGTCGGAGAAATTTAGCCTATTTTTCATGCTTTTCGGCTGTGTTTCAGAATGCCCTGCGCCGTCGCTATGAAGCTGGTGCTGTCAAATTTGCAGTACATGCAAACTGTATCTAGTCGTCAGTGCGTGTGCCAAGTTTGGTTGACTGATCTTAACGGGTTTGTGAGATATTGAAGTTTGAATTTGGCATGAGAAAACTCAAGTTGTTATTTGACTTTTTTGTGCGAGTTTATTACTACTAGATAGACATATTGCCATGGGAGGTAAATGTTGATGATGGCTTGCTGACCTCAACCCAAAGGTCAAAGGTTGTTTTTTTGCTCTTCCCCAGTGCGGAACGCTAGGTAGTCTGCACAGTCCCCGAGTAGATCTGAGCAGCGCAAGGGGACGGCACAGTCCCCCCGTAGGTAGCGCAAGTATAGGATAGGGGACTGTAACAACTTCCTTCTGGAAATTTTGAATCAGGTTACGTTGGAGACTCTGTGTCTTAAAACCACACTGGTAAAAGGAAATTTAAAAATGGCACACTACTAGCACAGTAAAATAATAGTTAGGACACAGCAGTTCCACTAGAGAGGACCGTGTCAAATAATAGTAATGTTGGAGTTTTGTTCAGCTCATTGCTCTCGCACAAACCTTTAACATTTACTACATCTCGAGATGAGCACTCGTTACTGTTTACAATTGGGTGCACTTACACCTTGCAAACCAGCCGATACACTTCACGGGGATTTTTTAGATCCTTCGCTTTTTTCCACTTGCTACTCCCTACACCCTCCGCCTCATTACACACACACACACACACACACACATACACACACACACACACACACACTGACACACACACAAACACACACACACACACACACAC